TCTTGACTCAGACTAAATGTCAAAGTCCTGACTGCAGTCCACGAGGCCCTACACGATGTTGCCCCACGACTTCTCTACTCTTCGCTTGATCACACTCCCCTCCTTGTTCACCCTACTCACCCCTCCCAGCCACCTTCTGTTCTTGGAACACGTGAAGGAGAGGCCTACCTCAGGGCCTTTGCACCTGCTCTTATTGGTCTTCTTCATCCACTTCCCCCTTACTTCACTCAGATCTTTTTAAATTTTATTTTACTTATTTATTTTTTATTTCGAGACAGAGTCTCACTCTGTTGCCCAGGCTGGAGTGCAGTGGTGCAGTCTCAGCTCACTGCAACCCTCCCCTCCTGGGCTTAAGTGATTCTCCTGCCTCAGCCTCCCAAGCAGCTGGAATTACAGGTGCATACCACCATGCCAGGCTAATTTTTGTATTTTTAGTAGAGATGGGGTTTAACCATGTTGCCCAAGCTGGTCTTGAACTCCTGATCCACCCGTCTCATCCTCCCAAAGTGCTGGGATTACAGGCATGAGCCACCACACCCGGCCTCACACAGATCTTAATTCCAATGTCCCCTCACCACAGCAGCCTTTGACCATCTAGGCCAGCACCACTCCCTCTCCTCCCTCTCCATGGTTTGCTCCTTCCTCAGCTCTGCTTTTCCTTGCAGCACTCATCACTCTCAACTGTATTATATGTGTATTTATCATCTCTTCCCCCTTGCAGAAAGTCAGCTCACAGGAAGCAGGACCAAAATGTTTTGCTAGCTGCTGTGGCTTTATCAACAAAAATACTATCTGACATTGACTTATTCGTTGCATAAGTAAAGGAAATAAACAGCTGGCTTTCCCCTATGGAAATGAGGAACTGCTGAAGATTCTGAGGAGGCTGGGTAATAGAACTCAGGCCCTAGAAGATGAATGGTTAAGCAAGCAACGATATGATTGCACACAGGGGGGACGGGCACTGAGGGCAGTTTTGGAAGACTCCTGCCACAGTCCAGCGTGAGGGAGACCGACACACACTGGGGGGTGGTAGTGAAATGTTTGACGTCCTTCCTTCTCCTCTACTGGGTAAATATACACGTAAGGCTCTGTGTTAGGTGCGGAGGAGGATTACAATCAGTGTAGGACATGGCCTGGGTCACCCCGGACCCTGCAGCCTTGCTGGGCAGACAGTAGTTGGGTTTTGAGTTCCTGTATGTGGAAGATCAAACAGTGAGTTATTGCGGGGGTGCAGTAATCAGAGGCAAGGCAGGGAGCTGGCAGCCGGCAGGTAAGGAAGAGAGAGAGAAAGCACAAGAGGCAGCGGGGTGGAGAGAGAGGCAAAATGGACCAGTCAAAACTGTCTGCAGATCCAATTATTCCACTAAACACGATGGGCAATAGAAAACAGCTAAGACGACACACACGGGCAGGTGGCATTCAGCTGGGAGAAGTGCTGTTCTCATCTCTGCTCCCCTCCTTTCAGCCCTGCCTGCACGCGATAAAGGAGCCCAGCAGCCGCATCCTGCCCTTCCTGTTCTGCGCACCATCCTAGTCACCCAGGCTTGAGACCTGCAAGTTCCCAGACCCCTCCCATCCAGAGACCCACCTGGCCCACCATCCCTTCCTTTCCTCATCTTTGCTGCTACCACACCCTAGGCTTTGGTCACATAAATGTAGGGCCCTGCCAGCCTCCCAGCTCATCCTTCCGCTCCAGACTCCTTCTCTTACACTGTCTTGTACCACACCACCAGAGCGTTCTTCCCCAGACACCCACTGCTCTGTTCAGAAGTCTTCAATCAGGCACATGTTCTCAGGATCTCCTGAGGGCTGTGTCAAAAAAAAAAAAAAAAAAAAGGTCTTCAATTGCTTCCCACTGCCTAGACGAAAATGTCTACTCAGCCAGTACTTTGGGCTTCCTCAGTCTGACCCATACTTCCCCTCCCCTACTCAACTTCCTCAAGGCTAGACTGAGGACAGCATACTCACTTCTCACCCTACTCTCTAGACTTGCCCTGTCTAATCCAGTAGGTGCTAGTCACACTTAGCTACTTAAAATAATTAAAATTAAACACAATTTAAAATTCTGTTCCTTGATAGCACTAACCACATTCAGACTAGTGGCTACCATATTGGAGAGCATAGAAGGAAAACACTGTCCTCACTGCAGCAAGTTGGATTGGAGAGTGGTGCTCTAACTTTTGATGGCCTCCCAATCCATTTCTACTCCTTCCACCAATTGTTATTTGCCTGTACGAACAGCATTGGCGCCATGATGCTGGCTCTAACGATCTGGGCAGGAGCACTCCCCCCCTCCTCTAAATCCCACGTTGAAGTTTTACTGGGATCACTCGAATGTTACTGCCATGCCTATCTTTCCTTAACTTCTTGGTCCTATAAAGTTCAGTGGGAAGAGATTATTTTCAAAATCTAAAATTCCTGATGAAACACCAAAGGACAATTTTACAAACACCTCCACTTCAAAAACAAACTGATGAAGGAATAATGTAGTTGCGGTAGCCAATATAAAATGATTCTGTGCCTAAAAACTGAAAGGAATTCTACCACCTATGACTTGCTTCTATCATAAGCACGGGTACATGCTGAGACTAGAATTCTGGCTTTCTAGATCCACAGTTTAAATTATTATTGATTTATGCTTTGTGCTGGGTGATGGATTTCTTCTGATCTGCAGATGGTAAATGGCTTTATTCAGAAAGAAACACACGACTCAAGTCAATGGTACCACGTCAGTGATTCTTTCAGAACTCTACACTTGATGCCACTAATTGCTAGACTGTCTTGCTTTACCCATAAATTATGCAGTTATGGGCCTGAACTCTACAGCAGGGACAGAAGAAAACATGTAAAGTACTGCAGGAACGCAGAGTGGCAGCACGGAAAGGTTCTAAATTAGGTCTACTGTGGTCCCCGGACCTGCAGCAGCAGAATCACTGTGAATTGGATAGAAATTCAAGTCTAGGGCCCCCCTCCAGACCTATAGACACAGAAACTCTGGGGGCAAGGCAGAGACCAGTGTTTGTCTGGTTTGGGGTTGGTTGGTTTACTCTTTTAATTGAAATACAATTATACTTGGTACAATATGCAAATCTTATTGTACAGTACCATGAATTTTGACAAATGTATCGCTTTATATCCAACTTAATATTTTTCTGTTTTACCATTTTTAAGTGTACAGCTCAGGAATATTAACTATCATAACGTTATTGTACAACAGATCTCTAGGACTTTTTCATCCAGTGAAGCAAACTCTATACTCAGTGAACAGCAACTCCCTTTCTCCTCCTCCCTGCTCCCCGAGGCCCTGCAGCAGATGTTGGTGCCCCCTAGCATTTGAGAAGGTCTGCGCTAATGATCCCCGGCCACGGGCGCTGCAAGGAACAGCAGAGGAAAGTAGCAGCCGTGATAGGGGCCTGGCTCCCAAAGGGGAGCAGCGCAGGCAGTGTGCTACCAGGCCCTCGGATTCTCCAAACCCAGTCCTAGGTGGCCAGTGAGGAGATGGTTCTGGGCTAGATGCTAGGGGAAACCAAACACAGACATATGGACAACTTTTCTCATAAACTTGTGTAGGCACAAGTTTAAGAAAATTGTATTCCTCAACATTAGACAAGGTTCCAGAAATTTCATTTGATGGCCCCCAAACAGATTCGGAAAACTATCAACTTTGATTGGATAAGGGTGATTGTATTTTCATCAGTGGCCACACCAGGCAGTCATTCAACTCCAGCTTTCAATTTTATCTGTCCATTTGAATCATTTATGCTTCTCACCTGGAAATTCCCAACTAATACCCTCCGATGGAAATTTCCGAAGCGTACGATAACACAAAGGAAATAACCAAGCGCATCGCAAACCACAGAACAGTTTTGATTTACAAGTCATTAGAAGCAAGAGGCATTTACTGTTCTTTGCAGGCCAAAAGGGACTGCATCATGAATAATGGAAAAAGCAAAATGCATTAAGAACTCTTCTGATAATGTTATAATGTTCTCGGCCACACGGAAGGCACATTCATTGAGGACTTTCCCTGTGCCAGGCACATATCAATACATACAGAGTAGCAAGTCTTTAAGGGATAAAAACTAGCAAGTCCACCCCGTTTTGCTTCAATAGGTAGTTTCTGGATCATTATCTTCCGACTCTCAAACCAGTGATTTGGTACCACAAGCAGATCAAGAGCTAGGAATATCAGAAACAACCCAAAGCTCACGTTTTATTCTTTTCATTTTTCTTAAAGACAAATCTGGTATACGCCTATTCTGTCCTGATTTCTGTAAATATTAACAAACCACGAAGAAAGCATCTAGCAGAAAACAGGCTCTAGCATTTCCTAAAAGAAAAGAAATAAAACAAGAGCAAAACTACCACAGCCCTTAATTCCACAATGAGGAGGCACCAATAATGCCCCATTATAAAGCTACAATCTCTACATCCCACTCAATATCTTTTGGTCCAAACAGCAAGGATTTTCTATTCTCTTTAATTTGCATTATGTGTGTCCATTTTTCTAGCCACAGTGACATAGGATATTAAAAGGTTTCCCTGTACTTTTACTCAGATGTGAAATGATATTCAGGATGTAAGAGGGTAATTGCAGCAATTCATATTTTCTTTATATTATTCCACTGCCATAAAATCCAAATAAGGCTCACTATGTCCTCTACTTTAAAAACTGTCACATTATCATGCTCTGCTTTGTCCTACTCTCAAATGCTTCATTCACTGAAAACTTCCAGGGGAAATTTGTGAGATAGCTGTAATCATCCTGGGGTAACACAAACCGTATGTAGTAGCACTATTAATAATCAGAACAGTGGGATTCTTACATTTAGCACAAAAAGAGGGTGAATTTTAAGACATAACTGTGCTCAGGTAGGACCTACGATCCTTTAAATACTACATATTCTAGTTTTTGTTTGTATTACTCTGTTGCACAGAATTTCCATTTCTTTTTTTTTCTTTCTTTCTTTTCTTTTTCTTCATCTCACTCTGTTGCCCAGGCTAGAGTGTGGCATGATCTCGGCTCACTGCAACCTCTGCCTCCCAGGTTCAAGCAAATTCTCCCGCCTCAGCCTCCCGAGTAGCTGGGACTACAGGTACGTGACACTACACCTGGCTAATTTTTTGTATTTTTAGTAGATACGGGGTTTCACAGTGTTAGGCACGATGGTCTCAATCTCCTGACCTCGTGATCTGCCTGCCTTGGCCTCCTAAAGTGCTGGGATTACAGGTGTGAGCCACCATGCCCGGCCCCAGAATTTCCATTTCTGTAGCATAAAATAACTTCATGATGACTTTCCAAGCTAGGTTTTCTGTCACTTTAGAGAATTTGTCAATTTAGAGATTTTGACAGAATTCTCTACTCCTGAACACATCTTCATCCCATTTTCATAAAACAGGATCATGAAACGCATCCTTCATGTGAGTTTCAAAAGTTTCAAAAAACAGAGTATGTGACACTTTATTGGAAATTGATATTTAACTGAATATTTTATCATGCTATACTTAATTCAATGTCTTTGAATTTCTTTTAAAAAGTTTTTATGTCATTAAGTGTTTCATTTTTAAGGAATAAATATATTGGTTTTTTTCAACTTGACAAGTATCCTGCATAAAACTGCATTAAAAACCAGTAACATCAGACCCTGGATGGGATGGAAGGTCCAAATCAGAACCTCCATGGAATGCATCTCTCCATATTTTCACTTTGTTTTCAAGCAAGGACCTACAGCAAGAAAGTGAGGGTAGAAAAACCACCTCTCCACATGGTGCAGTTTTCTTAATAAGAGGACTGCTAGAGTCTTGCTAGATGATGTTGCCAGGAAGGATAAATGTATATATATATCAGTTAGTGTACATTCCCAAAGCTGCTGTTCATCCCTACAAAACAGCCCACACGCAGAATCACCTGCTGGCTCATTCCAGTGGGTGTTCCTAGACAGCAGCACATAAAATCCTGGAGCTGAATTTTAAAGTAATGCTAAATTATAAAAGGATGTAAGGGGAATCTGACTCTCAAAACGCTTCAAGCTAAGGGATTCTTCATGAGAAAAAATTTTACAGCAGGGACATAATCATGATTGTTGTTACTGCTTCTTACCTCGAAAAATGCACCCAAAAGGTGGAAAAACACTTGCTCCACATTATTAAAAATTCACTGGCTTGGTATATTAAAAGAAGTCTTAGAAAACATTATTTAGGAAGTCCAATAACCCAACTGAAAAATATGCAAAGACTATGAACAAGATGTTAAAGACAAAGGGAATACGAACGGCTAATAAATGTGAAAATATGCTTAACTTCATTCATAATTATAAAGAAGGAAATTAAAAACAAGATACCATTTATCTTAAAAATAAACTGGAAATAAAATAAGAGTTTGACATTCATTCCTTAATGGTGAGAGACAGAATAGCAACCCTCACACAATGCTGAGAAAGTATACATTTGGCTTACTCTTGGAGGGCAACGTGGTAATACTTATCAAACCTTAAATTCCCACATTTGTTAACTGAATTTCAGTTAAATTCCACTGCTGGAAAGTTTCCCTATATAAGATATATTTCTGTAAGTGTACACAGTATGTGTAGAGGACAATTTATAATAATGAAAAACTGGACAACGTACATGTCACTCCTAGGGTCTAGTTAAACAAATTACTAGTTAAATAAAATATAGCACATAACTCCATAGATATATTCATAGACTGGAATGGCTTTGTAGCTGTTCAAAAGAATGCAAACAATCTCTACATACTGACATGTGAAGATACCTAAGATATACTGTCAAATTGAAAAGCCACAGAACATTATTCATACTGGGATTCTATTGGTATAAAAAAAGTTAAAGAATAAATAAATATATATATGTTTGCTATACAAATTTCCCGTAAGAGACACACAGTAGCTCCTTCTAAGGAGGTGGCATCAAAAGGAAATACGGGGTTTTTACTTCTGACTTCCTATAGGTTTCTGCTGTATTTTAATGCAATAATTATGCTGTTTTATGATAATTTTAAAAATCATCCTCCTACTACTGCCAAAGCATGAATTGTAGAAACTGTAAGAAATGAGACATCATGGTTTCATGTCCGGCTGAATTCTGAGGCTCTTGGGAGGTACAGGGAGGAAGGGAGTGGCAAAGGCAGGGGCAGCCTGGGAAAAGCAAGTTTGAAAAGGCTTCACTGTGTATAAAAAGCAAAGCCAGGCACTTATTTTCCAATAATGAGTCCAGCTGAGCTGACCGCTTTCCTCAAAGGGAATAGAACAACTTGCTTAATTTCCACCAGCCAGGGGTTGAGCCTAGTTTTAACTCCATGCTCTATGTAATGTATTCTGTGAATGCCAGTCAACTCCCCTGATGCTGTAGGTGGGAAAATGGCCCAAAGATGGCCAGGCGTGATGGCTGATGCCTGTAATCTTAGAATTTTGGGAGGCCAAGGTGGGAGGACTGTCTGAGCTCAGGAATGCAAGACCAGCCTGGGCAACATGGCAAAACCCCATCTCTACTGAAAATATAAAAACTTAGCCAGGCATGGTGGTGGCTGCCTCTAATCATAGCTATTGGGGAGGCTGAGGCATGAGAATTGCTTGAACCTACAGCCAAGATTGTGCCACTGCACTCCAGCCTGGGCAACAGAGCAAGACTCTGTCTCAAAAAGAAAAAGGGCCAAAGACGTTCAAGTCCTGATATGTTAGGTTACATGGCAATGGGAAATTAAGGTTGCAAATGGAACTGAGTTTGCTAATCAGCTGATCCTAAAACAGAGAGATTTTCCTAGATTATCTGGGTGAGTTCTGTGTAATCACAAGGGGCCTTAAGAGTGGAAGAGGGAGGCAGAAGAGGGAAGTCAGAGGGAGATGGGACTATGGAAGCAGGGTCAATGAGATGCAATGCTGTTGGCTCTGAAGATGGAGCAATGGGCCCAAGTCAAGGAATGCAGGCAGCCTCTAGCAGCCGGGAAAGCCAAGGAAACAGATTCTACCCTACAGCGTCCAGAAAGCAACACAGCCCTTCTAACACTTTAAGTTTAGCCCACTGAGACCTGTGTCAGACTCTAACCAACAGAACAGTAAGAGAATACATTTGTGGTAATTTGTTACAGCAGCAACAGGAATCTAATATGACCTACTTATATTTCCTTTATTTCCATATATACAGATCTCCTCTGATGCACCAGCCTGGGATGTACTGTGAAAATCAGCTACCTGGGCTTCCCACCTGTGGATGCTCACTGACCTGGGGCCATGCCAGGTGATTTTAGGACTTCCTCAGAGAAAATCCAGGCAAGACACCAGCAACAGAACTAGCCTGATGATTATTAAATTAGCTCTATGTGGAGAAGCCATATTTGAATAACTTATTAGTGGAAGCCCTTTGTAAACCATGCTCCATTATATAAATGGCAGATGTCATTATTTACACCCAGACTACTCCTTTGGAAGACAAACAAAAGAGAAATGAATCTTGCTTAGCCCAGAATAGCATGACAACACATGTTCTTAAGTGTTTCCCAATATACTTCATATCTACAAATAAAGATAAGCTAGGTCAGCCAAAGAACAATTTTAATAAGGACTTACTATTGAGTGCCAGGCATTGAGCAGGACACTGGCGATATATGATCTCATATAATGTTTACAACATTTTCATCAGGAAACACCATTATACAACCATTAATAATTCACATGCTTACATTCTTACAGGCAATCATTGAAAGAGCTTGGGTTCAAAGTGCTTTGTCAGACTCCATAGCTGGGGCTCCAGAGAGACACCATGTTAATCCCTATCCCCCATCATGAAACAGCTTAAAGAGACCCAAATGCTGATTATTCACCTCATTCTCACCAACCTAGAAATGCAACAATTTAACTGCACTTCCCCAAAATACCCTTGGGACTTGGACCTTTTTTTTTTTTTTTTTTTAAACTCATCTTAACAGCCAAATTATCAAAAACAGAATCTCTTGTTTTCATTATGATTTTGTATCTTACGTCCAATCAATTGATTGCGTCCATCAAGGAACCTGTATTCTCAGATGATATAAACAAAAACCTGGCTTTTGTGAGGTGGAGAGTGAAGTTTATAAAGCTTCTCATAAGCCCTAGTCAATGACCGTCGTGAGCACCTGCCCCCCCATGTCTGCAGGGCACAAGAGTCCCCACTCATCTGCTTGAGAACCACTGATCTAGCACAGCAATATCTAAAATGGGCAAGGATTTCCCATTATGGGAATTTCTATATAATACTCCATTCTAAATAAATGTGTTAGCACTAAAAACTCATCATAATGGAATTTTTAAGAGCCACATAAACATGAGTGTAAGTCCCCCTTGCTTCCATTTCTTTTCTCAATTCAATACATGAAATTAGTATCAATCGTCTATAAGAAAAGTTCACATCCTTCAAAGGAGTAGTTTTCTCCTTGAATTACACTATATATACACATATTTTTTTTTAAAGTCAGAACTACAAGCTGGCTCTGCATTTTAGTACATAAGCTAGTAAAAAGAAGATATTTGGAATCTGAAACACATTTTCCAAAAAATGACCATCATTCCTGGGGGTTTCCAGGGTAACCTACAAAGCTGTATTAAACCCATAATGTGGGCTAAATACATTCGCTGTAAATAACTTAAGATTTGATACTCTTACAGTATTAATTTGTAAATATTAACAAAGTTATATACATTTCTTACATATTTTAAAGAAAAGCAATTCTGATGAGATGATCAAGAAAAATGAGAATGGAGATTTGGAGCAATCTAAAGAGCACTGCCAGGGTTTTCAGGATTGATACACTGCTCTCGACTGCATTTAAGTTCATTTCCAAAACAGCTACAGTTTCCTTCTCCTTCGCACGGCTGTATGTCCACCACTCTGCTTATACTTATTGGTAATGTGGTCATTTAATGGGACCACTAGAGCTAATAGAAAGAACTTTATGTGACACGAGGACCATCCAGCACAGGCTGTAGATGATGAATGACAGAGAAAAGGGTAGAGATTGGCAGGGACAGGAGCACATTGTTGTCTGAGAGAGAGAAAAGACAGTGGTGACAGAGCACCGTATGACACCCAGCTCCACAGGGCACCTCATGGAGTCCATGGCCGTGGTCCGGGCTGCTCCAGTATCTTCAGGGGTGAGGAAGGCTATAGTCCCGGTGTGGCTGGGGACTGGATGGATAGCCAAACAGCTGCTGGTACAGTACTTTCAAGTACTACAGAATGGCTATTTGATTCCTACATCCATAAGATCTGAAAAACACTGCCAGAACTTAAAGACAATTCTATGGCTCACTCACTTGCTCTGTTTCATACACACACACACACACACACACACACACACACACACACACACACACACACACAAACGTTCCCCCTAGTGGCTCACATCCATCATCAGTACCAAAAGAATTTTAAATTTACAATTATTATTTAGCACACAGTAAGCCCCTGCAATGCATAGAGCCGTAAGCCATCTACAAAACTCAATTCAAATTACAAAAGGGATACAAGAACTCATCGATTAAGTCAGGCGAAGCCCAAAGTAGATGTGAGAAATATTTTACTCTTTTCTCCCATAACATTCTTTCCCCAGGATCATAAATCTCTGAGCGTTGACTTTTCATCTTTAGAAAGTGAGCGTCATCAGGGCCAGAAAATAAATCACTTTTAAAATAGTCATTCACCGTGGGCAAATACAAATATAAGCCAGGCAGATGGTGAAAAGCTCATTTATACTGGTATAATTTCATAGAACTAGGCAAGTGAGAAGGAAGCAGAGGGAGCTGTGAAATTTAGGGCCATGTTTAGAGGGTGAGACTAAATACCCCCAAACAACAGAATACTAAAACTTTTCGTACCACATCGCCACAATCTCTTCAACTCTTCACCTCTGGTTCAGACCTGACTTTCTCCCTTTGTGGCAACAAGAATGAACGGAAAAGAGAAAAGGGGAAAGAGGAGGGAAAACCCAGATTCAACATTGCAGGGCTTTAAGCCCTTTTCATTCACCAGTTTCAAAGCGCTTAATCCCTTGAGTACTGCTGCACGATAGAAGAGATTATACCACCTGGTGCTTAGTTTTTTCATAGGGCTCTAGCTCACAGCTGGCAAACCCAAGGTGGCTACCTCCCCAGCACTCTGGTGGGTGTTTACGTCACAAAGCCACACAGGCCTCGGGGGAGGGGAGAGAAGGAAGGCGACACCGTGAACACTCCTAAGGCCACTGCCAAAGACTCTCTCAGTCCTCAGTCCAGTGTCGGAACCCATTAAAAGCCCCAGCACATATCCTACTGGCCGTAGCAAAGGCATGATTTCAGACCTTCCACTATATTCCCCTCCTCTCTTATAAAAACAACACCCACCCAAGAAGCAAAACCTTATTATCAACCCACAAAAAAGGAAGAGAGGAAGAGAAAGGCAATGCAGGAAAGAAAAAATCCTTGAAAAATGAGCATAAGCTGAAATTAATCCCCCAAAAGGACACAGAAAAATATACTATCATGCCTTGTACTCAGCTCATGAAAGCTGCCAGAAACCAAGTCGAACAAGTTCTTGAAAAACGTGTGCAGGGCTTAGGCTTGCGTGTGATGATGACACTGTGAGTTGCTAAGAACGAGAAGGAAGGAGGGCAGAAAGATGCTGTTTTGCAAGACAGACAGGAGGAGCTCTTAACCATAGGAGGCGGTATAGCCTACGAGATAACCACAGAAGCACATCTTCAAATTCCACGTCATCTCACAGATGGTCGTCTCAATTGCCACGGGCCATAGGTAGATCCACAACCACATGACACCAGGACCTACACAGTCTTAGGGTACTAACCGTAGAAACGTCACTTGGCTAGGAGACATTTCTCTTGCTGCTAATCTCATGATATACAGAATAATTATAACTATTATGAAACATGTACAGAGCTAATAAACTGGGTTATGAAAACCTGCTAAACTAAGGGCGGGCTCCATTCAATGCCCACTATATAATAAGAGCTCAATATCTGCTGAGTGAATAAAATAATTGCATAGATAAATCATCACTGTCTTACTATACTGGAACACAGAACAAACTGATGAAGGAGCAGTGTATTTTTAAGTATAAGAACCGTCTGGCTCTTTCTGATTTTCAGTGAGTCCTGAGGGTCTGATAGCTAGGAGGCATATCTTCTACATTTGTCTGAAGGATGAACTACTTTCCCTCCAGACCGACAACAGTCAGAAGAGAAAAAGAAAAAATCCGGCTAATCAAACCACTGGTTATTCCTTTAGTGTGAGGATCTAAATGGAATGTCTTCAGCAGCTCTTCTAAAAGATTATAGTAAGAATTCTATCCCATGATCAGGGACCCTCCCACAAAAATAATTCCACGTGTAACTACAACCACTTAGCACCTGTTAGATAGCTGATCAAGGCCACTGATGAGGAATGGACCAATTCACAGAAGCATCTTCTGCCTGGAGAGCTCCGGGACAGTGGCCATGGATGCATCTTTGAGGCCATCATGAGTTGCTGCACCAGACCTGGAAGCACCTACTTCCAGAATTCTTTTGTGCAAAAATTAATTAATATTATCATTATTATTATTTTCTGAGACTGGATCTCACTCTGTCACCAAGGTTCGAAAGCAGTGGTGTGATCACAGCCCACTGCAGCCTCAACCTCCCAGGCTCAAGCAATCCTCCCACCTCAGCCTCCCGAGTAGCTGGGACCATCAGCACGCACCCCCATTGCCTGGCTAATTTTTATATTTTTTTGTAGAGACAGGGTCTATGTTGCCCAAGTTGGTCTTGACCTCCTCGCCTCAAGTAATCCTCCTGCTTTGACCTCCTTAAATGCTGGGACTGCAGGTATAAGCCACCACGCCCAGGCTTCAATTTATTACTATTTGAGTATTAATTGTAGGGTTTCCTATTATTTGCATCTGAAAGAATCCTACCCAATATAGGAGATGGTGCAGTAAGAAGGAAAGAGCACTAGCTTGGGAGAAAGCAAGTCCAGATATCAATTTTGTGCCAACCTAAGTTCTGTGATGCTTGGCAAGTTAAACAACCACTCCAGTTTGGGGAGTGGTCATTTGACTCCTAAAGACTATTCTAAGATTTAGTGAATCAAAGGTCATGATTCAAAGGGGAAAAAAAATGTCTATTCTACAGATTCTTGGAAGGAGATATAGTCTGTTTGATGATGAGAGATGAGGAGTGGAGTGTGGAAGGATAATCCTATCACCCACAAAATTTACTCATAACAAATTTTAAACTTGATCAATGATATTTCCTATGCAGCAACCATTTGGAATTAAACTCTGTGAGGTTATCACAGGATTCAATAAAGTGATTTTCAATCATCCTAAGTCAGTGATAGCTGCCTCACTCCTCCAACTGTTGACCACAAATAAATACGTGTCACATGTTTCAAAAAAAC